TGCAAGGAAGCAATCAGACTTCACAGATGGTGCTGGTTTCAGTTCTCATTCACACAAGAGGTCACGGCTGGGTCATACACATTGAATACATATAGACACACTAGACCAGGGCCGGACATTTCCCTGAGCTATTATTCTCCTTATGTATGTACACTTTATAGGTATGTTTATTTTGCTGCATTGCATAATTATAAACTAAAGCAAAAAAATAAATAGGCCTTCTTTAAGTAATTAGGCCAAGTCCTTAAATTCATTTTCTGTGCAACACAAGCTGTGATATGGCCCCAAAAGCAAACACAGCTCACACAGAACTAATCCAAGTGTAAAGATTGTGAGCTCTACATTCGTGTTTAAAACCTAGAATCTGGTTTAAAATCTCTCCATGTAAGATGAGTAGTGCAACACAAACATTTACACTGATGCCCTCGGGATTGGCCAGTGGTGATGGAAGTTATTTTTGGTTAATTTGGGGGCATTTTCTGTGTGGTAGATGAACTGAAATGACAAAATTAAGAATATACAGATGTACTTTCAAGACACATTTCCAACAAAACACATGTAGAGGCACCTGACAGATTCTCATCAACAATTATGGGTGTAATTCCAATAATTTCCACCAAAAGTGACTGGATGGAGGAGAACGAGACAGACTTCTGATATTAGGAATGAACGAAAATGTCATCCAACGTGTCAGAGTGGGTCATAAACAAGGCTTTGTTTGATAATGCATATCAAGGCCTCAAAAGGCATCTTAAGAGTCACAGGAAAAAACAACACATACTCAGCACTTTTCATTCCAGATGCCCCATGTCTGTTTAATCAAGCCAATTTAGAGTGATATCAGCCTCAAAATCGTCATGGCTTTCAGCAGATTTTAGTCGTATGCTGAGCATAAAGAATAACTTTCTCATAAAGGGTTTTGTCTGAGGCAAAGCACAGATTTTTGCCAACGGTGTTGAGAAACGTTTGATCAAATGTTAAGTTTTTGTTGTTCAAATATGGATTTACTCATGTAATCAAAAACGTGTTTTGCTGGAAATTACATATTTAAACACTCAGTATAGTAGTATAGTGAGTATAACGGTTTAGGCATCACCTGGTAACATAAAAACATCCTGCCACAGACTATCAAAACAATCCTTCAGTAGTCAGGCTGCTTGTAAGCTCATGGAGAGTGTGTGTGACTGATAGGTGGGCTAATGTAATTCTGTTGCTTCCACAGTCATAGTGATGGGCTGTTAATCTGGATTTAGGTTTCAGGGCCACTGTCTGAATGAAACCTAATCCCACTGAGTGGCTCATCATGGAGACAAAGACCTCAGACTGCGGCAGAACATTTTCTGAAGTTCAGATCTGACAATCGCAGTATAATCTACAATCAGAGACCAGAATCCACTGACCATCTCAGTTTTTTATTATTGTGGCCATAAATAACAAATACCGCCCCAGTACCTTGTTTTAATTAAGAATCCCTTTCTAGGGATTTACTCATCACTACATAGACTCATCTGGTCTTTACTAACATTAATAATTCCTTTGCCTAATGCCCTATTTAAATGACTGTTTGGACTTTCTGTTTGTTATAGCAACAACATATCAACATCTGATGGATCTTATCTGTGTAATAAATCCCATGCAGCATTTTACAAACAAGTAAACAAGTAACACTATTTCAGTTTATGTGAAGGATTACTGCTCACAACCTGTAATCTTAAAAGTAGTCTGGAATAAGTGCACAGATCTGAGGTTACTTTATCTAAGTGACATTATTGCTGACGCATCTTGACATTTTGCCCTGCAGTGCAGAGGTCACTTGGCTTCCTCTTAATGGTAGCATCTCTCCCGGGTCTCTGCTTCATTCTTCAGCTAATAGCATGGGAATAGAATAAGGTCCAACAGATTTAGATATGCCAATCATGCTTTGAAAGTGACATTTGCTAGAAGTAAGATGTCTCGACTATTATATCTTCCTAACAGTTGTCAGATCTTGACTTTTTGACAGTTAGACAAGATAGATTGTCGCCAAATACCACCAAAGCTACACTGCCCAAGGGCTTCTGGAGATAAAAGCCCTGTTTATTTTCTGCATAGAAAATAACAGTTGACTAGCAGTTGGAACACTTCCAAGGCTTGGATGGCTATGAAGAGGGTGAGTTATCAGTGCAAAAGATTATAAACTGTGTTAGGAAATATGTGGCTTTTTAATAAAAAGTCAAAAGTACAGGTCTGTGGACATAAACATAAGGGCAGATAACTCCCAATTTCATTAAGAAGCATCCAGTCACCAAGCTTAAAATTCAGTTGAGTGTGCTGCTAATGGCAAGTTAAAGATAAAGATTATGTTTAGAGACAAGATAATATAGTACACACAGAGCTTTAAATGAATTTACTTTGGCATCCTGGATGAAATTTGGATGACATCTGCTACTATAACGTGTTGTTTTGCTCTCGGCTGAGATTTGCATCTATTACTGACTTCCTATCCACAACAACAAAAGTAGTCATAGGTATCAAAGTATTTGCAGCCATTTGCTATACCAAACATAATTTCTCAGAAATTAAGATGAAATAATGAAAATTAATGTCCATTACAACCTATAGTATAAGTATCTACGAGCCTCCTATTTTTCAAAGAACACTGAGGACATAACTTTCAAATGAGAATTTACACTAGAAAAAAATACCAGTGTCTCATCCCTCATTGCAACTCTGTAGGTCGAAGCAAACCAGAGAACACCATAACCCAGTGTCAGATAAAATCTATGTCTGTTTTCAGACCCACAAAGACAGGGACAGCATCAATAAGAGTACACAGTTGGCCTACTATACTTCAATTAATTGAATTTTCTGAGCACAAGCCAACACAGGCAATTCAGTAATACCACATAACACATTCACACATAATGGATAGTTAATGTGAAAATGATGGCCTTTTTACATCAAAGCAGCATGTGGGTGGTAGAATAGAGAGGGTGGGAGGGTGAAGGCTGTTTAAGATTATTGAACGAGTCTGCGTATTCTGTAGTGGCAGAACTTTCTTAGGGAAGCTGTAAAAGGAGTGACATTTCCTGTGGATATCTATCAACAAGGCGTAATGGTTTTCATGAGCACTGGCTGGAGAAATTACAATCTTTTTTAATGGTTAATTAATAAATGAAAGGATGATGATGAATGGCCCCCATTTTTCTCCTTGTAATGAAATGATACACATTTTTCCCCTATGTTTCTAATTATTGGCGGAGACATTCCCTGGTCTCTGGAGTAATCTGGGGACGTTTTCATTATCATGGACACAAAAGAAGTTGCTGCACCTTTGCATTTAAGCAGACAGAAGCCACAGCAGGTGGAATTGGATGACTAAGTTTATCCCAAATGTTATATATGTGTATATCATACATTACAAGTGATTATATGATGAGAGCATGGCAACAATACTCGAGCTTCAATGCCATTACAGAGCCTTTAGCTAACTTACAACCTATGCATATATTCTATTTAATCAGTCCAGACCATGAAATTAAGTAGTGTGATATCAGTGCAATGTTAAATTAAACTGTAAGTAGAGATTGACAGTATGTGACATGCCTGTACCAGCTGTTCATCAAGTGCTTGCTTACTTTTGGGCTTTATTTTCACTCCACATATGGGAAAGAGCGTGAGGTCACTCTATTAAAAATATAACCCACTCTTGTCACTCTGAAACTGTCAGTGAACGTCTAAACCAGGATCAGAGACATGGACATCACAAGCAGAGGGATGTCCAGCCCACAATGTGACACCATTTTGAGAGCAGAGAGATTTATCATGGAGGAAGCTGTGTGTATAAAGTATGTGTATGTGATGTGTGTGTATGTGTGTCATTGATCGCTGCAAGAAAATCCCTGTAGCACTAATCAATAGCAAGTGTGCATAGCGTGACTTGAGTCAAGGGCAGAAATGGCAAAAACTGAAGTAGAGGAATACGCATCCATTAACAGATGAAATAGTACACATTGCTGTGACTTGTGATCATACCAGATGCAACAAATAATCAGTTTACCTGGGCATCCTACATTATGAGCATCAAGAACGTTTGAAGGTTTACAGGAGGAAAACAACACCTCAAACTTTGAAGCTTGGAGGTTTCAGCAAGTAAACAACACCACTTAGTGTACATATGAGTGCATGCAGTCACCAATGAGTATACATTATTGAAATGGTTCAAAAAGTGTATATGACATGTGCATGAGCATTTCAACCAAGGAATCTTCACTCCAGGTTAACCTTGCCTTTCTTTAGCCAAGTCAGTTTTAGTTTGCAACATTGCATAACTGCAGCCCATGTGTACTCAAAACAGGATTTAAACTAACATTATATAAACAAATGCAAGCGAAACCTTCCTTATGCCTTATTCTTCCTCATCACAGAAATAATATCACCTTAATAATCACGTTGCACTAATCATATTGCACATTGTACCTATAAAAAATTACATGACCCATGCTTTGTACCGATAATGGTCTACTTTATGTGAACCTAACATACCTTACTCTTCCAAATACCTTTCAAACTAAAGTTTTAACCCACTGTTTGTACCACAGTTTTAAAGTCATTCTAGACTTCACAGCTTGCACAGCACTGCTTTCTATGCCTTCAGCACATGATACAGCAAATAATAGTTTAACCATCCACAGCAGAAAGATTGATTATTGAGTCCTGCAAGAGTTCAGATAGCCTTACTGTAGCAGTCTATGCTATTAATTGATCAATTCTCAACCGACAAGAGTGTCAATAATACAATATCTAAAACAGGATGGTAGTACATGTCAGTTTCAAGCCAAAAGGTCTCAAAGAAGTCAACATTGTCAGAAATAAATCAAAGTTCAAATATCATTCTTGATGATAAAGAGTCAACCAATGAACAAACGTTTGACCCACAGCCAGTATGAAAAAGCGCCAGCAAAGATGTTGTACTCCTCCATTGATGTTCATGCCAAATAAAGTTGATAAACGTGACTTACGTGTTTTGCGGTGGCTGTGTGTACGCGTGACGAGCGTGGTGGAGACCGCCTCAGTAGTACTATGCTCCGGGGTCCACATCTGCGTAGAGTCATGGAGTACAGTTGGATTGGACGGTGAGGGGCTAGATGTTGCACCTCCAATTATGAAGGTCGTCCGTAGCGCTGCAGTGGTCGTAGTAAAACCCGAAGGTACACGTCCATTACGATTTACAGGATTCCGAGGGGTCACTTGGCTGCCCGATGCTCCACCACCTCTAGGGTTTATAGTAGTGGTTGTAGCAGTGGAACGAGTTCTACCCTTTGCAACAGTTACCGTTCTAGACGTGGGGTTCCCACCATCAACTGTAGGCGTCGTTGTGGTGGTTGTAGTATCAGGACCTTTGGGAATCCCGCTTGGTTTGGAGAGGAAGATGGGATCCTGACCTATTCGATTGGCATCCACCAGGTCTGTTGGCACGTAATCCCGTACTGTACCAACAACAATCCATTTCAGCAGCATCAGGCTCAATCCAAGGCCAATGAAACCAATGAGTAAGGGGACCACACACAGCCATGTCTGCTGGCGAGGCCAAACCGCACAGCGAAGGGGACCCTGATCCTGGGCCTGACCCTCACCGCGGTCCCCTGAAGTCCCTGAAGCCTCAGGTTCCTCCAGGATCACAGCCCCGGAAACAGCTGCCCCAGAACACTCGCTCATCCTTCCCTGCCGTCCTTTATGGCTCATTGAGGGTTAACCCTGTGATAGGCATTGATTGTAAATGGCAGAAATGTTCCCAACAATGCCGGACATTGAGAAGGGACAAAGGGAATGATGAAGAAATGGATACAAAAGGACCCCACGGGAATCAGATGCTCAATAACATGTACACAAATATGTAATCCAAGGATAGAGAGAAGGAGAGGGGTGCAGGAGACACATGCAGACACACGATCACAAACACACACACACAATCACACTCAGAAATAACACCCAGTGAGAAATGGGAGAGCTGGCGTAGACAGATAATTGCCCGATTAGTCCGGGTTAGTCCTGCCCAACTCCCAATGTCCAACTGAAGCAGTAAACTTCAAGAACGTTCACAAGCCGGAGAAGAAGTGATGCTTCTAACAGGGAGAAAAAGAGAGAGGGACAAAGAGAGAGACAGGAGAGAGAGATGGGTGGGAAGGAACTGTTTTACATCTGTGCATGTGTGGCATCTGTGTTCTGATGCCTCTGCAGCAAAAATCCACAGCTATTTCTACTTAATGTGCATGTGGGTCCCCACCATGTACAATCCACGATGGGAGAGTATTGTCTAATTAGGGGATTGAAACTTGAAGGCTGGGTCTTGTTGCTTCCCCACCCTGTGCAGGACCAAAAAAAATGAAAGATGTTTCCCAATGCAGCCTATTTAGCAGAGTCTAGTCGAGTTCAGCTTTAGCCGAGTCAGCGTCCCTCAGCTCCCAAAATCTGTCTCTTTCTGTTACCAAAAGAGTGCGAGAGCAAAGATAGTTCTCGTTAATGTGTCTGTCAAACACTCTTCTTAGATCATTTGCTATCTTTGTTGCCCGTTGCTTTTCAGTCAGCCTCTCCTTTTTTGAGGATTTTTTATTTATCACTTTTTTGGTCCAAACCCGACTTTATTTCCTTTATGTGTGTTTTTAATCCCAGTGAGGCTAAAAATAAAGCAGTAGAATCCAATTAATTTTCCAGATCCAGTCATAAAGCAAAGCTTCGGATGAGGACAGAGAGAGGGAGGGGGGTAAAAGAATGAAGGGTGTTGTCGCGCAGTGGTATCACAGGGCGGATAAATGCAACGCGTGATCCCGCTCCTTCTCCAGCCGGCTGTGGATCAGATTTCCCCAAGCTGTCCGCTCAGCGCCCTGCTGTCTCAGTATACTGTCCGTTAATACTGCAGCAAGCACTCTGAAAGCCTCTTCTCATCTATTTGCAGGGAACATTCCGCCACAGAGGGATAAAATGAGAGACGAAGAGGATGAGAAGCAGGGAGTGGATGAAAATGATTGAAACAGAAAGAGCAAAAAGCAAGATAAATAAGAAGATAAGAGGAAAAAACACAAACAGGAGACCACAATGCTTAAAAATATCCAACTGATTCTCTCTTTTCTCTTTCTGAACGCTGATTTTTCCTCAGTCCCTGAAAGCCTGTGCTCTTTCGAGTCAGTCTGTGATTTGTTGGTCGGGTTGCTGGGATCCTCTGCTCGTCCTTCCCTCCAGGAAGCTTTCTTGGAGATGATTAGAAATGTGTGCCCCGCGCTGGGCTGAGAACTTGCACACAGCAGCAAAAGCTCCCTAACCCCCTATGGGGTTAGCAACATCCGATGATGCAGCTGTCTTTACCTGTGGCAATTGTGATGCAGACGCACATACAGCTGCCTCCCTGAGCTGCCGCTGCTGAAAGAAGGAGAACGAATGAGAAGGGGGAAAAAAAACACAGGCACAGACAGAGCGTGTGTGCACACTGGTAAAGCAAGGGAATAGAGAGACAGAGAGACAGGAAGGGAGGGAGGAGAGAAAGAGGCTGCACCTGCTAGATGCACCAGCACTGGGAAGCTTGCCCACCTCCGTTAGCAGGGAGGGGAGTAAGTAAAGATGCAGAATGAATACAGAAAACTAGGAAAAGGGGAAAATGGGAGTGGAGGTGTGTGTACAGATAAAGATAATGAGAGTGGGACGGGGAAGAGGGAGAGAGAGCTCTGCAGCGGCAGATGAGGCAGTTACAAGCGAGAAGCCCGAGTCCCAGACGGATCAGAGCAGAGGCATAACGCAGGAGCCGTCGCTCACTCCCTCTGCCCCGCCCACTGCACCGCATCAAAAAACAGATGAGGAAAGAGGACGGAAGAGAGATAGATTTTCAAACCAAAGACCAAACTTACTGAAGAGTTCTTTTGCAACAGACAAACAGCATTCATAAAATGAATAAATGCCAGTTGGATTGATAACCCCTTGAGTGTACAAAACACATGATTTCAGAAAATAATTAAACACTGAGATATGTGTTTTAACTCTTCAACTGTATTTAATACAATATTTAGTATTTATGTGGATGCACAGGAGCTTGGTCAGCACTGCAAGGCAATAAAAAGTATGTTTATATGACAAACTGTGTATTGTTTAAGTGTCTTTCCAAAGATAGCTCTAACTTATTAATATATTTTGTTTTTAATGAAGTACATTATAGTCTCCATATTTATTCTAAGGATGCAATACTGTAAATGTGATGAATGTATTTCTACAGCTTCTATGTATGTTGAGGACTTTTTGTAAAATGTATATTTTTTTAATGACTTATTTTTTTACATTACATTTATTCATTTAGCTGACACTTTTATCCAAAGTAACCACCATTACACCCCGAAATGTGTAATTTACAGAATAATTAATTATAATTATATTATACTGTCCTATATAATAAACTCTGCTATGGTTATTCTGCCTCTCCTGTGTCTTTATTGTATATTCTGCTCTTTTAATAATATTTTCTGTTTTAAAAAGACACAGCTTTACGGGGTAAGGGACAAAAGTGAAGCAAGCGAAAGTTGGGACAAATGCAGAGAGAGAAAATTAAATAATAAACAGATCCAAGTCACAAGGAAATGATGTGGAGAAAAAAACAGACAGAAGACAAAAGACTAATAATATGCTGCGTTTCGCATCACTGCTTACTCTGAGTATTATTTTAATAAGCCAGTTTGAATGACTGAGCCTCAGTAAATCCAGCCTGGGTTCAAATCAATTTAACAGTGTACAGCGCTGTGTAAAACAGCCTTTAAGATGCTTGTTGTAAAACCATGTTTCATCTGTTGTATTGTGACTTTATCTTTATGTGCCTGAATGTGTTTGCAAGTGTGTCTTGAAGGAAGTGATAGCATCATAAGAAAGAAACACACCACATAAAGTCATACAGATAGTCATGTGCCTGTAGGGGGATCCTTCAGTTTGTCTTGTGGGGAAACTCAATGGATGTTGTGAGTTTTCACACCTCTTTCTGACTTCTGACATACAAATATATGGCAGCACATGTTAAAGCAGCCATCAAGACACTGTGGTGGTTTCACAGAATCTTCAATAATGTCACTGGCAAACAGCCAGGGACACAAATTAAATGCTAATCCAACTGCACTGCCACTTGATGAAGAAGACACAGTAAAACTAGTGGTAGCCTCTGTTTCAGAGCCAGAGAACACAAGCCTCTTTAAAACTTTTAAATCAAGTAGATAATATCCAAAAGTGGATACTCAAATGAGTTAATCAAAATATGTAAAATTTATTTCTGGGATACCTGGAGTTGCTAAATAAACTGCTATACCTCTAAAGTAGTACAGTTTGTAATTGACTATGGAAAAATCTGCTGACATGACCAATCTTAACTGTGCTTAACTATAATGTATCATGGCCTGTGCTGGATTATGGATTAATTACTTGTCCTTACCTACAGTAAGAGAAGTGTTTGCGCAGTGGAATCCAATGGTGAACAAGGTCAGTATATCTTTGCAATGCACTTATGTTAACATAGTCTGAGTGGGGGCAGTTTTTCACACTTTAAAGTGTTTCATTGTCATTTTCAAAACCTCTTACAAATGCAGACATGGGGCAAAATGTTAGAATTCAAATCTTATGATTGTTGCAAAAATTCAACAAAATAGTGAAATGTGCCAATCAAAATGTCTTAGGGCAAGATATTCAATTTAAAATGATATAACGCAGAAGAAATCTGAAATCAGAACCAGAGACCAATAAAGCTTTCGTATCCTTATATAGTATTATATATAATGTGTGCTTGTTTGATAATACTGCTGTTAGCTTGAATTGGCTGTCAAAATGTGGGGTTTATATTTAGACTCAGGGTACAGGGTTTTCTTTTATCTTTTGCATTTGACTCATTTATAGTTTTATAGTTTAGAACTTTCAGTTCTGGTGGTATTTAAATCCCTTTGCAATCTGTTGTTTACAATCAAAGCAGTATAATCCCATCACATATCGCAAAATTGTATGGGATTATAGTGATGTGTTTAGCATATTGTATGACCATCACTGTTATCATATTTAAAAATCGCACAGCTTCAAACCTGGCTCAGAAATAAAATTTAAATCATTCTCAAGGGCCCAGAGAAAGTTGGTATTTTTTATGCAGAAAAGACAAATTAGACTTTGTTTTGCCTACAGTAAGACCTGTATTTATCCACAGGTCCAACCTGGCCAAAAATAAGCAATGAGCACACAGCATTTGAAAATCTTTATTAAAATTAATTTACCTTTTTTTCTGGTATTTAAATTTCTTCCACTCAGAACATTTTATCATCCTATGTTCTTAGGCAATATAAAAAAAATACATGTGTTGGATTTAGGGAGAAGGTTTAACCCGAAATTAAGAGGAGTTTTGTTTTTAATAATTCACCAACACCCAGAAACGTTTTGGCAGCAGAAAAACAAATCCATGAGTAAAAGAGTAACGTTATTTCCTGTTGCGGGAATCCAATGGTCGAGAGTGTAGGCAGGGTGCTACAGACGGTAGCTCCCCTGATGGATCATGTGTAAATAGATTTCTATAGGCTATGTGTTTGTGCTTTATCGAATTAGTTTCCTGATTAGAGAGGCTGCTGTCGGTTCATCCTGACCGATCTTGTCGGAGTGTCGGGAGATTCAAATAATCAATGACTTTAAATGCTGCTGTACCATGTACGCACAGCGTCTTTCTTAATGGGGAGAGGATTCATCCTATTTACTCCCCCCCGCTATTATTCAGAAGGTTCATTTTTATGACGAAGACTCACCAGCTCCGCAGATATAACTCTGCACATCACTAGAACCCACCTATGCAGCACATCTTTCTATCAGGAGCGCCCATTAAATAGCAGTGAAAGTAACGCAAAAGTAACGCAAAAGTAGAGAAAAGCATTACAATTCAGTAGAAGTAATATAACTAATTATTCTCAAATGACAGTAACTAGTAATCTATAATGTATTACATTTTGGAAGTAACTTGCCCAACACTGACGACCAAATGTACTGTTGCACTTTCAGTAGATATCAAGAGATACAATACTCTCAAGCAAGCCCTCACTTATCACAAAAAAAAAGTCTGCTGATGCCTGCATGATTTTTGATGATCTTTGTTTTGATGATATTGCTTGGCCGCATTAGAGAGACAGACCTCCCAGAGAGCAACCTGCTTTTTAATTAAAGGGCAAACAAATGTAGTTCCTCAAATTACAAGAAGACAACAAACAACAAATCAGCCCTATTTAAAAAGGTCAAAGTTGTAGTTATTTGTCCAGAGCAATATGGTATGAGAGTGGATTTCAGTGTATTCAGTCCCTCCAGGAGTTTTCAGTTGCAGAAATAATTCAATCAATCCCTGCATTATTTACACCTCGCTGCCATATTTCTGTTAAATCTGACAGAATCCATGCAAATATGGACTGTTTTGCTCTTCATTATAATAATCCAGTTCAGACCCAATGCTAACACCCTTAGGTCAAACAAAACACAACGTTCCAGCTGCCTTGTCTTTTGGGATTTTGATTCCCTTACTCTCATCTATGCAACCCCTAAACTGTTCTACAACACATTTACAGTTTACAATATATTTATAGTTTACAATTTTATTAATTAAGTTAATTAATTTAATTGAATCAAATACTACATAGTGCACAGCAATGTTGGCGATAATAATCACAAAATGCCTCAATGTGAGCAAATTGGGACTACTTAATGAAAAAAATACACACGATTTGCTACCAGTTCACATCAATACAAAGAAACAAATTGCAAATGAAATATATTTTAGGAAATAGAGATGTACATTGTTATAATCGTAGTTTAGATTTTTTTCACCCCAGAAAGGCTAGCAACTGTGCTAGCAGAAGACAATGGGATCCTATGAACAATAAGGTTGGTTTTGAATATGACATTATGGAAAGCTGATCCTCTGCAACTAGCTTTGCTCATTCAGAGTGTAAGTGAACTTAGTGACAGAAGACACCTACCACTAAAAATCTGAGCCTATTAAACACAGATCTTTCAAAAAGCAGGGATCATTACTGGACATAAAGGCTGCCCGCTGTCAAATGGAAATTTCTGCTGAATCAATATAAATGCAGCTTTTGTCTGAGCTCATACCCTGGAGACGCAATGATATGCCCCAGAGGGTAGCCTAAATAACACAATAAGGTCAGAGGTCATTGAATATCTTACTCAGCCATTAGGATGCATGTTTGTGTTTTGTACTCAAGCTAAATAAAAAAAGATGTGCAAGCAGGTATGTTAGGATACTTTTATCCTAACAAGGGATTCCAGGAAGATAATAAATAAATTTAAAATGTCTTTGTAACAATAACTCAATTCATGTAAACGGGTCGCTCGCAATGAGGAATCCACAGAGAATTGTCA